ACACACGAGTTAATGCACATAACACACAAGTACTACGTACACCCGAGTTAATGCACATAACACACAAGTACTATGTACACCCGAGTTAATGCACATAACACACAAGTACTACGTACACACGAGTTAATACACATAACACACAAGTACTACGTACACCCGAGTTAATACACATAACACACAAGTACTACGTACACACGAGTTAATGCACATAACACACAAGTACTACGTACACCCGAGTTAATGCACATAACACACAAGTACTACGTACACCCGAGTTAATACACAAAACACACAAGTAGTACGTACACCCGAGTTAATACACAAAACACACAAGTAGTACGTACACCCGAGTTAATGCACATAACACACAAGTAGTACGTACACCCGAGTTAATACACAAGTACTACGTACACCCGAGTTAATGCACATAACACACAAGTACTACGTACACCCGAGTTAATACACATAACACACAAGTAGTACGTACACCCGAGTTAATACACAAGTACTACGTACACCCGAGTTAATACATATAATACACACGTGTATCTGTTTGAGAAACTCGGGAACAAAACCTGTTAAAAATCCCATAATTATAGCGAGTAATTGTTAGAGGATTGTGAGTTTAGTATAGTAACTCTCACATTCAAGTTTTAAATGTTTAACTTCTCAGCAAGTGATGCTCGGAGAATGACTTGTAACTTTCTTAAATTTATTTTGCTAACCTACTGTTCGACAGTTTGCAAAAATCTGTGAAATTGTAGGACACCTTTCTCTTACCATCACATGACGACAGTTAAATCTTTGTCCCGGAAGTGTTACCACAATCTATCGACGGCGCCAGGGGCTATTCCAGATGTTTCCAACCCCATCACACCCCCCGAACGCTCTTCGCTTAGTTTAGGAGTTAAAAAAGTTTTTACTCGTGAACCAGAAAGTTCTGGCAGCATTTAGTTTCCAAACATCGGTATGTTGAAGAATGATGTCAATTGGAGTTGAAATTTAAAATGTTTATAAATAAAAAATACCAATTGTTATTTCTACAGTATATGATTGTGTAAAACACGGAGCACAGTACAGGGCTTTTTAAAATTATAAACACAAGAATTAAGTCTGTGCGTAACGAAAACGTTACTTGATATGGTGAGCGAATTGCTGAGTACGTGCGTTTTGTCTACTTCAAAACTTAACTAGTACTAGTTAATTATTGTTCACACTATTCATACAACAGCGGGTGTTTTATTAATATCGAATTTGACAAAAAATATATTACAATTACCGTTCATCACAATGACACTTCAGCCCTCTTACCATTATTGTTGTTTGGAGATACCGATCACTTATAGAACACCCAGCTTATACCCACCTCTGTGGCTATAGTACTCGACATTCTTACCCAACTTATACCCACCTATGTAGCTATAGTACTCGATATTCTTACCCAACTTATACCCACCTCTGTGGCTATAGTACTCGACATTCTTACCCAACTTATACCCACCTCTGTGGCTATAGTACTCGACATTCTTACCCAACTTATACCCACCTCTGTGGCTATAGTACTCGATATTCTTACCCAACTTATACCCACCTCTGTGGCTATAATACTCGATATTCTTACCCAACTTATACCCACCTATGTAGCTATAGTACTCGATATTCTTACCCAACTTATACCCACCTATGTAGCTATAGTACTCGACATTCTTACCCAACTTATACCCACCTCCTTGGCTAGTACTCGATATTCTTACCCAACTTATACCCA